ATATAGACTTATTGGTGTAAAAACATGTTGCGTACTATATACACATCCTATTCCATATCATATAGCATACGAAGGTATGCGTGCATTTTGACGGAGCAACCCGGTATAAGTGCATTTGGACGAAGTCCCAGTATAAACCAGGATGCTCCACATGATTCCACCTTGTCCAAGGAGGCCGCAGGAGGCTACAGAGAGTCCCGGGACGTCCCAGAAGCCCCCCGGAGATTTCAGTAGATTAAAGGAGTTATTCGGATATCACAAGAGGCCCCAGGTCCCAGGATGCCCCACAAGGCATCAGGAAGTGCCAAGTGGGCCCAGCAGGTCCCATAGGGCCCCAGGAGATTCCAGGAAACTTCAGGAGGCCCCATGGGCTCCAGAAGGCCTCAGGAGGCCCCATGGGCTCCAGGAGGCCTCAGGAGGCCTATCAAGGGGGATATTGGTATCCCCTCCTGGCCGCCCCGACAGGAGGGGGGGGGGGGGCCGACGCTGTGGAGAACACACACTGTGGGAACAACGACACACGCACACATTCGGTGGAAAAAAGAAACAAGTACACACAAAACACACACAGTCAGTGGAGGCAAACAAGCACACAGTGTGTGTGTGTGTGTGTTTGTGGAAGACGCACACGCACACACAGTCAGTGGAAACAAGAAAGCACACTGAGTGTGTGTTTGTGGAAAACACACGCGCACACTGCGTGTGTGTTGTATGTATGTGTGTTCCACTATGGTACGTGTGCGTGCGCGTGCGTGCGTGCGTGCGTGTGTGTGTGTGTGTGCGCGTGTGTGTGTGCGTGTGTGTGTGTATGTATGTGTGTGTGTATGTGTGCGTGTGCGTGTGCGTGTGCGTGTGTGCATGTTTTTTTTCAACGGGCAGGAGGCTCAGATATCCGAAGGAGAAAAAGAGGAACCAACGGCTGGGGGGAGGAGGGCGATGCTGGAGCAGCTGGCCCAGACGTTCGAAGGAGAAGAGGGGAAACCAACGGCACAATCATAAACGATCGGAGTTCCGCGGGTTTCTCGCACAGGCGCTGGGCCCCTCTGGCGGCGCCTCCAGCGCCTCCCCTGGCGCGCTCCAGCACCATGGAGGGGGGCTCAGCGCCGATCAACCAAGTGATGCTTACGCATCTGGTATGTTCCTCTACACTTGCTCGCGTCGTGAACAAATCCTGACTGGAGATTTTCGGCCGTGGTTGGCATCTGGGGGTCTTCGCCAGGCTTGGGAACCGTCAAAGCAAGACTCGGGATGACACACCGGCCCTAGCGAAGGCGACAGGACATCTGGGGCCCCGCATCGAAAGAAATCAGGACTTCCTGGGGCCCCACGTTGAAAACATCGAGACGCCGCATGTCTAGGTTTTCTCCTTCGGTCGGCCTCCCGCCGGTTGCGCGCGGGACTCCGCTTCAGGGCCTGCTCGGCTACACTGCAAGCTCGAGCCGAAGACAGCTCAGGATTTGCACCTTGCACTGCTGGTTCAGAGCGCAGCTGCCCGTGACAGTTCGTGCACAGGCGGCGGTTGGGGGAGGTTGGGGGGGGGGTAGGCGCGCGCGCGCTCGCATGGGGTAGTAGGCTCGCGCGCGCGCTCGCATGTCGAGTTGGGTGGAGGGCCCCTTCCTCCGTTCTGGGTCCCCTGGCGGGGTCTGTTGCACTGCTTTGGGACAGGAAGCCTGCCGAGGCGCGCCCTCTTGCGCACCCGGGCGCCGCACGGATGTTTTTTTTGGTTGCTGTAAAAAACATATATACAAGCCACAGAGCCAGGCCTGTATGGTGGGGTCGAGGGCGGTGCGACGGGGTCTCCACCTTTCCGCACTGCGGAGGAGGGGGAGGGGGAGGAGGAGGAGGAGGAGGAGGAGAGAGGAGGAGGAGGAGAGGAGGAGGAGAAGAAGGATGAGGAGGAGGTGGAGGAGGAGGAGGAGGAGGAGGAGGAGGAGGAATGGGCTGGGGGCGCCAGTCGGGAGTCGGAGCCGCCCGCAGCGGTGAGGCCTTTGGGAGGAGGGGAAAAACGGGGGGAGACGAGGGGGGAGGATGAGGAGGAGGAGGAGGAGGAGGGAGGAGGAGGAGGAAGATGATGGATGATGAGGAGGAGGAGGGAGTGGAACGAGGGACGAGGAGGAGCAGGAGGAGGAGGAGGAGGAGGAGGAGGAGGAGGAGGAGGAGGAGGAGGAGAGGAGGAGGAGGAGGAGGAGAGGAGGAGGAGGAGGAGGAGGAGGAGAAGGAGGAGGAGGAGGAGGAGGTGCAGGGATAGAGGGCGGGAGGAGCAGGTGGAGGAGGAGCAGGAGGCAGGGTGTGGTTGGGCAGGAGTCTTGGCCCTCCGGGGGTCCAGCGAGACCGCCAGGGAGGAAGGCCAGCGGCTGACAAAGCCGCCGCCTGGGTAGTGCGCCGTTCAGCCCGATCCGTTCTTCACTGCCTCTGGTGGGCCGCCTCACTGGCAACACCCTGCACGGTCGGCGGCAAGGGCGGACGTTGACGCCTTCCCGTGGCAGGCGGGCCGCGCAGATCACCAGGGCACGAGGGCGGCCGCGGAGGGTCGGAACGCGGGGGGATCCTCGCCGCGAGGAGCGCGCAGGTGGCCTCGGGCATGGGGAGCGCGCAGGTCGCCACGAGGAGCGTGCAGGTTTAGCAAGAGCCTGTGCGGTCAGTGCAAGCTGCCCACGGGGGGGGGGGGGGCCGGCGCCGTGGTCCACTGGGGAGGCAAGCCGTCAGCCCTCGGGTGGCAGGCACAGTGCCGCGGCTGAGCCAGCACCGTAGGCGGTCCGCAGCAAGCTCACTAGCAGTTCGCTGTGCGCATCGAGACAGAAGGCCGCCTGCCAACAGTTGCCCCTCGGACATGTGTTTATCACCCAATGGCCCCAGGGAGGCACACAGAAGAAGCCCTTGGGCACCGTGTGGCCCTCAGATCTAGACGACGTGTATGTTCTGCAGGGAGCTGTCTTTTCGCATGGGCATACTGACTGCACGCCGGCCCTCGTGGACCCATTGAGGGGCTGGCTGCCCGATCCCGCCACGCCCGGGCTCGCCTCGGCATCGGCCAGGTTCCAGACGCAGGTTTCCCACGTCATGATGCTTTCACGGCGTCGGCCCCCAGAGGTCTGGGCCCCTTTCCCCAGGGCCGGCTTGTCATCCTGAGTCGTTTTGTTTCCGGTCCCGAGGCCTGGTAAGAGCGCTTGGATGCCGGAAGCAGCGACAAACAGGCCCGTCGTGATTTCTCACGACGCGATGGGGGTTTGGTAGTTCAGGGGCGTAAGAGATTGCTGCTGGTGCTGCTTCTGATGCTGCTGCTTCTGGTGCTGCTGCTGATGATGATGACGATAAGATGATGATCTGACTGATGATAAGGATGATGGTTGATGATGATGATAATGATACTGATGATGATGCTGATGATGATGATGATGACGACGACGGCACTGATCATGCTGATGGTGATGATGTTGTTGATGATGTTGGTGACGATGAGGATGAGGATAATGATGGTGCTGATGATGATGCTGATGCTGATCATTGATGCTTTGATGCTGATGACAACGATCATGTTGATGATACTGGTGATGCTGATTATGATGATGATCATGGTGATGCTGATGTTGACGATGATGATGATTTTGCTTGAAAGTGTGATGACGATGATGATGGTCAGATGATGATGCGATGATGATGCTAAGGCTAATTTTTAAAATGATGCTTAAGTTGATGATTTTGCTGTTGAGGTGATGATAATGTTGATGATGCCGGTGGTCATGATAATGCTGCTGCGGATGATGATGGTAAGATAATTACGATGGTGCTGATCATGATGATGCTGACGATGATGACGACACTGACCATGCTCTCCTGATGGAGCTGTTGCTGATGATGTTGATGACGAACAAAGATGATGATGGGGATGCTGATGATGGTAATGGTAAGGTGTTGATGTTGTAGCTGATGCTGATGAGGATGATGATGGTGATGACGGCCCTGGTCTTGATGATGGTGATGGTGGTGCTGAAGTTGTTGGTGACAATGGCGTTTGGGCGGAGGATGAGGATGATGATGATGATGCTGATGCTGCTGATGATGATGATGATGATGCGACTGATGATAATGATGCTGGTTGATGCTGTGATGCTGACGACGACATTGACGATGATGCTGATATTGATGATTATGATGATGATAACGGCTATGATGATGGTACTGATGATACTGATGATGTTGACGCTCATGCTGAATAGGATGAAGCTAATTTCTCTGATGATGCTGGCATTGGTGATGATGATGGTATGGTGATGAGAATTTGATGATGTCGCTGGTGATGATCATGGCAATCATGGATCTGGTGATGATGGTGTTGATGTGATGATGATGCTGGTGATGATGACGACGATTACGATGATGATTAGTATGCTGATTACGGTGATTACGCTGATGATATGACGCTGATATGTTGAGGAGGCTGCTGCTGGTGATCATGATAAATGCTGTAATCCCTGATCACGATGGTGATGGTGATGATGATGATGGTGCTACTGAGGATGCTGATGATGGTGTTGGTGATTTGGTGATGGTGATGATACGGTTGATGATGACGATGCTGATGATCAGGAGCATGATGACGATGCTGATGATGATGCTGATGATGCTGATGCTGATGGTGATGATAATGATGATGCAGTTGATGATGATGATGATGATGATGATGATGATGATGATGATGATGATGATGATGATGCTGATCCTGATGCTGATGCTGATGATGATGATGATGATGATGATGATGATGCTGATGATGATGATCAGGAGGGGGTGAAGGAGGAAGAGGAGGAGAAGGAGGAGGAAGAGGAGGATAATCAGGAGAAGGAGGAGAAGGAGGAGGAGGAGGAGGAGCAGGAGGAGAGGGGGCAATGGCAGGGGGGCGCGGACAACGCGGGAGGAGGCGGGAGGCTCCATGCAGGAGTTGCCCAGTTCGGGCTGGTACCGAGCGCAGCTTGCCGTGCCAGTCGGCGGGCTCCCGCTAGGCTCGTGTCCACCCTCGGGCCGGGGACCTGCTACGAGATGGGCGGAGAGGACGCCCCCTCGGGGGGGAGGGGAGGAGGGGGAGGAAGAGAGGACGAGAAGGAGGAGGAGGAGGAGGAGGAGAAAGAGGAGGAATAGTGACCCTTCGCTGGAGTAACCTTTGGTGTAGGCTCATCGCTGTTCCCCCCGATCGCTGAGCGCGATGCGATAGTGGCTGCTCGCGCACGTGGGTTTGGCCACCTAGCGCCCCTGTCATCCGCGCACTCAATGTCACTCTTGCCCAGGGTTGCTTGTGCGTGCAGGACGCACACGTCCATGAATCCACGTTGGTATCGACCGCGCGCATGCCGCGAAGGATCGTATCACGAGGCTGGTCTCGTGGACCGCGGGGACCGCATTCATGCGCGCGCCTGGGCGCGCACGTCCCTGGCGGGCTCTCCCCGCCTTCCCCCGCGGCCCCCGCCGCGCGCCGCGCCGCCCGCCTGCGCGCGGGACCGCAGGACCTCCGCGCGTGGCGGCATAAGTCGCGGCGGGACGGGAGGCCTCTGGGCCGCTCTCGGTCCCGGGGGGGCCCTCGCCGGGCCCCGGGGGCCGACTTTGGATGAAACATTGGCCCTGCCGCAGGCGGCGACAGGGGCGAATGGCGCCCAGGGGCGGGGCGGGCGTTCCATGCATGCGCTGGGGAGCCTCGCCGCAGGCATGGGCCATTGGGGCGCCCCTGGATGCATGTGTTGCTCTCCCCTGGAAGTTCGCCCCCCATTGTCGCCCCCGGCGCGTAGCGACAAAGTCAAGGCCTCGCGTATGTCTGGGGGGGGGGTTCTGATTCCGGGCTCGGCCGCTGTGCTCTTAGGCTTGCGCGTTGCTGATTTGACAGGCCCGTGGCCCGGACCTCTCAGCTCGGCGACTGCGAATCCGCGTCCGCCCGCGACAAAAAAAAGTATATGGGGGGGAGCGGCCCGCGGGGGCGCGAGCGAGGGTCGCGCCGGGCGCCGCGCGGACTGTGCCGGGAGCGCAGGCCGTTGCCATGGGGGCGTGGGGCGTCGCGGGTGCGCGAGTCAAGGTGGCCAGGGGTTAAGTCGGGCGTGTCCCCCTACAGGGGGATTTTCGATGAAGAATGAAGAATACCCCCAAAAGAATCCAAACATAGTCCGAATAATCCGAGGAAGTCTTTAGTTTTGCTCTCCTCCATCTCAAAGTGCAGCTCTCGCCTTAGCGCCGCGCACATTCGTCTTAAAAGCTTGCAACAGTTATCGTCTTCGTCTTCGTCTTCGTTTTCGTCTTCGTCTTCGTCGTCGGACCGCCCGAACTATAATTATTTTCCGCTATTGTCTGGCGGGGTCGTTTTTCCGAGTTGTCAATAAATGCGCCGGAGTGATATTTATTTTCCATTTACTGGCCAGGGCGATTTCTAAAAACTTATGTGGGTTAGTCTGGGGACTTTTTTATATCTTTTTGGAACATTTTGGGGGTATCCATTATTTTTCGCCGAAAATTCCCTTGTAGGGGGACACGCCCAACATGAGCCAGGGGGGGGGAAGCGGCGCGCGTGGCCGGGGAAAGGGAAGCGGCGCGCGTCTTGCGCCTCGTGGTCTGGGCCAGTGGTGGCGTTTCTCCGGGGGGGGGGGGGGGGTCGGCGCGTGTGCGCGAAGCGTCGTTGCGCCGCGGTGGTGAACGCCACCTGCATTCTTTCTTCCTCTTCGTTCCGCCCGCTCGCTCCCTGGAACAAGGAGAGCCGAAGGAAGAGAGCGCAACAGTTCGGACAAGTCTGTCTGCCCTGGGCTGGCGGGTTGTAGATGCCGCGTGGGCCGTCTTCGCAGGTGGCGGGAAGAGCCGCAAAACGAACAGAGGTGGGGAGACAACGCTCTCCATTATGGCGCGGAGTAGGGGGCTCCCGACTGCAAAAAGAAAACGGGTCTGTGGTGATCAGGGTGTGACACGCCTCGTTTGCACACCCAGCAAGAGGCGCTGACTTCCAGCGCGCTCTAATCTGTGAGCATTGGCACCTCAGTGAACCGTGGCGCCATTTCATGTCATCTCCCGTAGCGGCCCAGTGCGAAGGCCGCGGAGCAGTTGCCGGCTGTTGTCGCAGCGCACCCGAGAGAGGAGAGGCCAACATTGGTGCGCTCGCGGTGAGCGTTAAGGTGCGCCTGGAGGCCTCCCTGAAAGGAGGCCCCGGGAGAACCGCTTGGACGGGACGGAAGGCCTGTTTCAGGTCGTTCCATGTGGAGTGGGCTCGCTGGAACCTGTCCAGCTGATGGCCAGACGTGGTCCTGGATGGAAAGAAGGGTCTGCGCACGGTTTGCGGCGCGGTGCTGCGGCGCCGTGGTGCTAGCGATGAGGGCCGTTTCGCGTTCCCGATCTGTGGCTGCCGCCCAGCCGCCATGAGGCGCTGCGCGAGAGAGCGTGCTTGCGACCCGTCAGTCGCGTTGGTGTCCCACCCGTGCGTGCACCCTCTCGGGCGGCAGGGCGGGCGCCGGTCCCCGTGCCAAGGCGGGGGGTGGGGAACGGCCTGGTGGCCAATGGTGGTGGCCGCGGAGGCGGGGTCTTGGTGGGCCGCCTGCCCCTCGAGGCACTGCTCCCGAAGGCGTTCGCTCCTGCCGTGCTGCCCTGTCGTCGTCGGCGCTGTGGCCGTCGCTGTGGTGACCTCCCGATGGAGCAGCGGCAGCTTTTCATTGCTGTCCACGGCCGCACGGAGCCCCAGTGGGTCCTCATCTTCTCCTTGGAAGTCGTCTGTTTGGCTACCCTCTGGTTCGCCGAGATCGTCGAAGAAGTTTGGCCCTGGTTGGCCTTACGTTTGCGCGGGGTCGCCAGGTGAGCCTGGTGGCGCGTCACTTGCCCCAAAGTGAGCGGGTCAGGCTTCATGTTGCTGAGCACCCAGGGAGTACCCCGCGCGTCTGTCTGGAAAGGGCAGCGCGTGGTGGCGACCGCCAGAGATCGCGACAGTCGTGCTGTGAAGAGCCGCCGCGACGTTGTGTCGCCACGCTCCGTCTGCGGCATCTTGCTGCAGGGTGTGCAAGCATGCTCCGGCAGTGGCGGTTTCATGTGCGTGGCGGTTAGAGGGTACTGCGGTCCGCGTGATTCGACTGTCATGTATGGCTTGCTCACCGAGATGGCCGTCGTTTTTGTTCTGGACCTTGCACATGTCGGGCTTGGTTTGGAGGGCGCGACGGGTCTTTTGCCAGAGCTCTGCCTGGGCTCCAGTGACTTGTGGTGGTTTTCCTGCGAGGAGGGCCTCGAAGCCGTCGTCGACGGCTTTGCTGTCCACGGATGCGTGGGCAGGCCGCTCGCACCAGCCACTAGGTGGAGCGGGGTGGGGGTCTCCGCGCGCTGCGCGGCGTGGGCCAAGCCGTGCACCCGAGCCCCGAGCCGTGCTGGCTGATATGTCAAACTGGATGCCCCTTTTGTCTGCGGCGGCCAAAACTCAAGAGGGAACAAAAACACACAGACACAATTAATCGACGATCCTCAGGGGAATATGGGGAAATATGGGAAGTGGGGGGGGGGAACACAAAAACCCAGGAACTATGCGAAAATATGGGGACTTTTGTTATTTGTGTGTATGTATTTGTGTGTCCCAGGGCCCCTTCAAAAACGGCTGGGGCGTCGACCAGCTTGGTGCCAAAAGTGGCGATGATTTGGCTTCTTGCCCGCTGCCATGCCGCGGCGCCCCAGCAGCTGAGCGGAGCGGAAAAGCGGGAGGTGGAGATGGCAGTGAACGCGGCGCAAGGTCATCATCGAGCTGCTCGCGCGCGTGGTCAAGCTTCGCCGTCCCGGGGCGCTCCCTGGGGCTCTTCCGTGCCGTGCCTGGGCCTCGTGGCTGGCGCGTGCCCGCTGGTGGGCGCTAGCCCCGAGAACTGGGAGGTGAATAGCTCCTGCGTGGTGGCGACGGCATCGGCGTCCCAAATCTCTTCGCGGACCCAAATCACACGTGTCTGCTGGGTCGAGGGCGACTTGCACGACGTTCAGCAGGCATGTGGCCTCTGCGCGGCCCAGTTGGTACATGCTTCCCTGTATGTGGCCTGGCGTGGGCTTGGTCGGCTTAGTCGGCCTACGGAGGATAGGGATTCGGACGATCTTCTGAAGGTAATCGGTGTTGATTGGTCCCAGGATGGCTCGGGCGAGGGACTTCTCCTGTCGGTGCATTTGCTGTAAGAGTCGGCTGCGTGCTTTTAGCGTGTGAAAGCAGATGCTGCTGCTGCTGTACGATGCGCCCTCCTCTGCCTTCTAGGGAGCAAGCACGGTGGAAACACTCTCGTTCTGTTCATCCGGGCTGATGATGAATGGGGCGGTGCTGTTGCCTCCCTGGCGATTCGCGGCTGGAGCCCGCCTGGTGCGGCAGGGAGGGATTCAGCATGGTGAAGCTAATCGTTTTTATATCCCGCGCATTTTGAGCAGCCCGCCCCTGAGCATGGGCTGATTGGAGCGATGTTGTTGGTAAATGATGTCAGGTTCGGCGTTGCGCTTGTGAGCCAGCTCTTTGTATGCAGCGGCTGTCCGGTCGACGCCACCACTGCTTGGGAGTGCTGCGACGCAGTTTTCATGTCGGGGCAGAGTGCTATCCGGTAATGCTACCTTTTGGCGGTCCTTGCTTGGTGACTTGGGCTGTGGATGATTGGAACGCTCACGGGGGCCATGGCGATCGCGCGTGACTGAGAGAGATGTGACACGAATCGGCCCCGTACGATTGGTACAGTTACGGTCTCATCGGACTGATCGTGCGCGGAAGGTTTCGTGTCGCGGTTCGCCCCCACCACAGGGGAAGGAGGTGGGGGAGGACGGAGTTGGAGGGGCGGGAGAATGAGGAGGGGGAAAAACGCGGGGGGTGGAGGTGGGGGGGAGTTGGAAGTGAGAAGGAGGAGGAAGAGGAGGGGGAGAGGAGGAATAATGGGGAGGAGGGGGATGATGAATCGACGGATGAGCTGGCGGGGCAGAACAAAAAACGGATACTCGGATAATGGTGGCAAAGGCGACCATGACGGTCGCGACGACGATGATGATGTTGGTGACGATGATGATGGTGTTGGCGAAGGTGGTGGCGACGACGGTGGTGGTGGTGGTGATCATGACGGTGACGATTGACGGTGATGGCGATGAGGGTGATGATAACGTCGCTGATGATGGCGATGATGAACGAGGAGGAGGAGGAGGAGGAGGAGGAGAAGGAGGAGGAGGGGGAGGGAGAGGGGGAGATGGAGGAGAGAAACGATGAGGAGAATGAGAAGGAAGATGAGGAGGAGGAGAAGGAGGAGGAGGAGGGCTCAATGAGACCAGGGGGTATGAAGCCGGGCGTTTGCGCAACACCCTTCGAGCCGATCCTAGGGCCCCTTCGCGCACCCGACCTCCACAGGTCAGGTCGTCACTTGGCGTTCAGCGCTCACTCTACAAGGGGGAGGGATACTCCTCTGCAACCCCCTCTTCCTCCGACCCCCCTCCTCTCCTCTGCTTTACTCGTCTATCCTCCATTCCCCCTTCTTCCGTTCCTTCCGATCCCTTTCCTGCTCTTTCCCCCCCCCTTTCCGTCCTGCGGCCTGGCTCCTGGAGACTTCATTACGGTTCTCCTCTCGCCCCATCCCCAGAGCCCAGGGGCATCGGAGGGCAATGGAGGGACGCCGTGGAAGATCACTCATGGAGCTCCGACACCCCCTTTCGCTGCATGCTTCCCTGCGCGCTTCGTAATGGGGGGGGGGGGGGGGGGGGGGGGGGGGGCGGGGGGGCAGAAAAATGGGGGGGGGGGGGGGGTCAGCGGGGGCTGCAGAGCGGCTGCCCCAAAGGGGGGCCCCTGGGGCCCCGAAGGGGCACGCAGGCTTCTCCCTCCCGCCCCACCAAACCACCCCAACCCAACCCGAAGGCTCAGATTTACCCTCGATTTCCAGTGTGTGGGGGGGGGGGTCGGGAAACATCGAACAAAACACATGTGCAACCCTTACCCCCCCCCAACCCGATATTCGGGTCTTCGGTGCAACCCTTACCCCCCCCCAACCCGAAATTCGGGCCTTCGGCTTGGGTTGGGGTGGTCTGGTAGGTAGTCACTCCCTCCCCCCCCCCATTTACGGACCCCCCGCTTGGTAGCGCCCGAGCTGCTCAGCCGTTTGGGCTCCGGGCCCGGGGGTGGGGCGCTCGCTGCGGCCCTGCGGCCCCGCCGGCGCCATGGCCCCGCCGCGGAAGGGCGGGGCCGGCGACAGCGGCCCCGTGGACCCCAGCGCCGTCTTCGTCCGAGGCCTTCCGGAGGACTCGCGCCCCGGCGCCCTCCTCCTCCCTCCTCCTCCTCCTCCTCCTCCTCCTCCTCTCCTCCTCCCTCCTCTCCTCCTCCTCCTCCTCCTCCTCCTCCTCCTCCTCCTCCTCTCCTCCTCCTTCCTTCCTTCCTCCTCCTCCTCCTCCTCCTCCTCCTCCTCCTCCTCCTCCTCCTCCTCCTCCTCCCCCTCCTCCTCCTCTCTCCTCCCTCTCCTCCTACTCCTCCTCCTCCTCCTCCTCCTCCTCCTCCTCCTCCTCCCTCCTCCTCTCCTCCTCCCTCCTCCTTCTACGCCTTCTCATCCTCCTCCTCCTCCTCCTCCTCCTCCTCCTCCTTCTCTACCTCCATCCCTGGCCATTGGGTGCCAGAATTTGTTGGTCAAGTTCAAGTTGCAAGTTCGGTCGCTACCGATGCTGCTTCAAGCTCAAGTTTCAAGTATCGGTCGCAACCGATTTTGGAATCGGTCGCGATCGGTCGCGACCGATTTGGAGTGCTGGTCGGCCGCTACCGGCCGCGACCGAACACATCCAGTATCGACCAGGTCGCAAAAGTGTTCAGTTTCGCAATAGAGGGTCCTCTTCCCTCTGCTGTCGCCGCGCCTGCTTTTGCCTATGCTGCTCCTTCATTCCTCTTCGTTCTGAATAACTCCTCCCTGTTGCACTCAGAGGGCAGTTGGAAGAACGGGCTGGGCGTTTCGCCTGAGACTTCCTTGCCATGTAGGATCCTGAAGTTCCGGATTCAGCAACAATTGCATCGATGGAGGGCGGGTGGTTTTAAACCTGTGGCTCTCGCACTAGCGCCTCACACATTCGTCTTACAAGTTTGCAAGCATTTGACGGATTGAGGGTGGGCCGTTTTCCAAAGGTGATTCTCGCCCTAGCGCGGCGCCTTAGCGCCACGCAAGCGTTTCACGTGTTTGAGGGCGGGTAGTTTTCATGATGCGGTTCTCGCCTGTGCGCAGCCCACATCTGTTCTTGGTGTAACAAAAGGTTCCTTCTGCTTAAACGGAGGAATTTCACAACATACCAGGAATGGCGTTCTGGAGCGATTCAGGATTGCCAGAGCGCAACAGTTCATTGATTCGCGGAGTTGAAGTTCCAGGAATGGTGTTCTTGCGCCATACAGGATCGCCAAGGCGCCACAATCAGATCCGTGGCTTTGAAATTCCAGGGATGGTGTTTTGGCACGCTTAAAGATCTTCAAACGATTGCTTCCCAACGGGGCACTCCCCTCAGTGGAATTGAATCTTTTTCGTGGCATGTGAAGAGGGAGCTCGGAGGGAGGACTGGTTCCAACATCGTTGATTAGTCTTGAATTTACACTGGTCCTCCTCCCCCTCCTCCTCCTCCTCCTCCTCCTCCTCCTCCTCCTCCTCCTCCTACTACGCCTCCTCCTCTTCCTCCTTCTCCTCCTCCTCCTCCTCCTCCTCCTCCTCCTCCTCCTCCTCCTCCCTGAGAGTAACCTCTTGCGCACGCTTGCACGGTTGCTCGAGGTAGGGATTGCACGCGTAAGCGCCGCGTTGGGTTCAGTTCCTGTCAAGCCGCCGCGCGCAGAGCCGAGTCAGATCCGATCTGATCCTCCCTGAGGGCACAGACGACGCGGCGTTGCGGGCGTGGTTCGAGTCCAAGATCGGGCCAGCGGTCACCTGCTGGACCCTAAAGGGCGGCTCAGGCCTCGTGAAGTTCAGAGAGGAGCCGGACGCCCAGCGCTGCCTCGACGAGCTGGACGGGGCGGAGTACGAGGTCGGAGGGCGCCACCTGTGACACTTGCACCGATCCTGGGCGTGCCAACCCTGAGACCCGATCCCGGGCGTGCCAAATTCAGCATCGCGTACAAAAACAGCACGACTTTAGCCCCGGACCCCATCCTTCTGCGCCGTCGTTTGCTTTGAGCCGGATCGAGCTGTGAGGACCCCGGGGCCCGAGATTTTACAACATCGCCCGTTGCGGACAAAAATGCGAGCCCCCAGGATCTCAGGGAGCCCTGGGCCCAGGATGGACCCTGCGCCCAGATCGGTTCCGGTGTACAGCTGGCGTCCCTCTGCGATCGGGGGCGGCAAGGAGGGGGGTGATGACTAGGGGGGGGTGGATATCATGGCGGGGGCCATGATATTTCCCCAGATCTCATGGCGCCTCTTCTTGTTTCATCACGTCTATGGTCCCCCCGCTGGGCCGCGCACCTGCCGCCGATCACGATGTGCACCCCCCCCCTCTTGGACAGCCCCCTCCCGGCCGCTCCCGATGCGAGGGCTCCGCGCTGAAGCTCCAGCCCGCCAAGACGAAGCGGCAGGGCAGGAGCGGCCGCCCCCCAAGCGAGCGCCACGATCACGGAAGTTGTGGGGGGGTCGAGCTATGAGCTCACTGTGAACCTCGAGCTTAGAATTCCAGCATTAATTTTTGAGTCGGGCCTGTCCCCCTACAGGAGGAATTTCGACGAAAATAAACGATACCCCAAAAATGAGTCAAAAAGGTCAAGAACTAATCTAAAAATAGTCCCCAGACTATGTTTGCATTATTTTTTGATTATTGTTGGGGTATTTTTTTTTTCCGTCGAAAATCCCCCTGTAGGGGGACAGGCCCGACTTAGCATTAATTCGATAAAGCAGAAGCCTCTGTAGAGTGATACTGACCTTTCGGAGATAGCTCGAATAGCAGGCCAACCTCATATGTCTCAGGGAGTGGGCGAGCCGAGACACCGGTCGTAGACGCCTGTACGGACAGGCAGCCGAGCGCATCTCTCGGCTCGGCGCTGGAGGGTCATCCAACGCCGCCCCCCCCCCCCCCCCCGGGACCCGCAGTCCAGGCCACATGGGAGACGTTTCGGCCTCGGCCCGCTTCGTCCCAGCCCGTGCCCGCTCCGGTCCGTTCCGTCCCGGCCCGTTTCGGCTCCGGCCCGTGCCGGCTCCGGCTCGCTCTTGGGCTTCGTTCCGGGATGGCGTTGCCTCCTCCTCCTCCTCCTCCTCCTCCTCCTCCTCCTCCTCCTCCTCTTCCTCCCCCTCGTTTTCCCTCCTCCCAAACGCCCCAACGCTGCGGGCGGCTCCGACTCCCGAGTGGCGCCCCCAGCCCACTCCTCCCTCCTCCTCCTCCTCCTCCTCCTCCTCCTCCTCCTCCTCCTCCTCCCTCCTCCTCCTCCTCCTCCTCCTCCTCCTCCTCCTCCTCCTCCTCCTCCTCCTATTACTCCTCCTCCTCCTCCTCCTCCTCCTCCTCCTATTACTCCTCCTCCTCTTATTCCTCCTCCTCCTCCTCCTCCTCCTCCTCCTCCTCCTCCTCCTGCTCCCCCTCCTCCTGTTGCTCCTCCTCCTGCTCCTCCTCCCTGCCCTCTTCTGGAGGAGGGCCGCCGCCCACGGCGGGCAGGCCGCCCCGGCCGCCCGGGCCGTGGCCTGGGGCTCCTCGGCCTCGTCCACCGCGCCCGGGGGCGGCGGCGGCGCCGCGGGGGCCGCCCGCGCCGAGGGCGGGGCGCGGGACCTCCGCGCGGCCCTCGGAGGGGAGAGCAAACGCCACAAGCTCACCAGCCTGGAGCATCTCCCCATCCCTCTGCTGGGGGCACCTCCTCGTCCCGATGCCGATCTCAGGGGGTTCCCTGACTTTTTGGGGGCGAGTCCCTAGGATTGTCCTCGGAGGGGAGAGGGAACGCCACAGACTTCTCGGGCCGGGCGAAAGGGGGGGAGTGGGAAAGGGGGGGGTACGACGTCTGCGGCATGCAGCTGGTTTCGGCCCCACCGAGGGGCCCATGCCTCGATACATGGCCGCCTCCGGCGCGGGGAGGCGCTGGGAAAATCAGCTACGTGAGCTGATTCTCAACCCCCCCCTTTGCTATCCCCCCCTTTCGCCCGTCCCGAACTTACCAGCCTGGAACATATCCCCATCCCTGTGCTGGGCACCTCCTCATCCCGATGCCGATCTCAGGGGTTCCCTGACTTTTTGGAGGGCGAGTCCCTAAGGCGAGAGAACGCCACAGACTTCTCGGGCCGGGCGAAAGGGGGGGAGTGGGAAAGGGGGGGTCACGACATCTGCGGCATGCAGCCGGTTTCGGCCCCACCGAGGGGCCCATGCCTCGATACATGGCCGCCTCCCGGCGCCGGGAGGCGCCGGGAAAATCAGCTACGTGAGCTGATTCTCAACCCCCCCCTTTGCTATCCCCCCTTTTCGCCCGACCCGAACTTACCAGCCTGGAACATATCCCCATCCCTATGCTGGGCACCTCCTCATCCCGATGCCGATCTCAGGGATTCCCTGACTTTTTGGGGGCGGATCCCTGAGATTGTCCTCGCCTTTTGGCGTGTCAATCTTAGGGATAGGGGTACGTTCGAGGCTGGTAAATAAACATGAGCGTTTGGCGCGCCGCGCGAGGTTCTTGGCGCCGCGCTGGGCCGCGCCGGGGAGGGGCCAGCCTGGCATCGCTCGGACGTGTGCATTTTTTCTCGGCGAGGGCCATCGAGGAGCATCCTTGATCATTTGGCGAAGAAGCCACGCACGAAACCGACAAAAACACAGGGAATGGACGTCCGAGCGATGCCCAGGGGGGGTCCAGCGCAAATCCAAGCAGCCCGCGCGGAGCGCCACACGTTTTTGAGCTTATGGCGTTTTTTCTTTTTCTTCCAGGTCCGGCTCTCGGGCCTGCCGGCCAGCGCGAAGAAGGAGGAGGCCAGGGGCGCACTCGCAACGGGTGGGACAGGGGATCGGCTATAGAAGTGGTTTGTACCCCAGAGCTGTTTTTCTCCCGTCGGAGCTACGAGCAACACGTAGACTGCTCCGTAGATCTCGGGAGCTTTTTGAACCTGTCGATTCGGACGAATAGTCACTTCAGGGGTAGGTCGACGCTGTGGTCGATCCCTCGGATGGGGGGCCGGCGACATGATGTTCTGAGCCACGGCGTTCTGCTTCGACGGCGGCCTCTGGGCATTTGGGCCCTGGGGCCTCTGGGTCGAGAAGCTGCGCCCGGGGAGTGGGTCGGGACCTCTGCGGCCGCGCATGATGTCGGAGCAGGGAGCGGGGCCTCTGGGACCTCCGAAAATTTGCATCGTCCAGCGATATGATTGCCTGGACGCCTCGTCCCAGACATCCGACGATAATCGTCGGATGTCTGGGACGGGGCTCTAGAGGCCTCCCAAATGGGGTCCGAGCAGATGGGGACGGAGGATAGCGTCGCACCGTGGAGGTATCGGAGATGCGACTCGATGTGGGGCCCGAGTTTCTTCGCGCTGGCGTCGCCGATGCGCTGCCGACGTCGCCGATGCATCGTCGATGTATCGTCGATGCGGCGCAATCCTCCGACACCCTCTACTCGGACCCCATTTGGAAGGCCTCTAGGGGTGTCCAGCCAGGTCGCCTCCACCCCCGCCCTCAGATGATCGGGGGACCTTCCTGGAGCCCACCTGACGGATCTTTTCGACCCTACTACGATCCCAGTTCGATTCAAGTTCGATTCAAGCTCGACTCAAGTTCGACTCAGGTTCGACTCTCGGTCGACTCGGGGTCGACTGAAATCGACGGACGTTCGACGCAGCTTCGACGCACGAGTGGAGCGAGTGTCTTCAGAATGGTCCCCAGAATGAGCATCCAACCCTCCAGCTGCCCGGGAGCCACGTGGCGCGCACCCAAGGGTTGTGGACGACGATCAATGGAGAGGAAGCATGTTGCCAAAACATCATGTAAAAACAGGTTTGAAGCATGTTTATACCATGTTTCTGTCATGTTAAGCACATATTTTATTCAATGATCGGATTGTCAGGGTTGTGAGCGTTTTTTATCAATGATTTTGCCGATCGGCGCGGGCCCTCACACCCCCCCTCCCCCCTCCACCCCCTCCCTGGAGTAGATCTTGGCTGGCTGTTTTGTTTTTGGCGCCTGCTTCGAGCGGGTGGAGTCTCCCCCGCAGGACGCACGGTTTCAAGCAGCCGCACCAAGCAGAGGTCCAGAGTCAGACCACCCCCCCTCCCCCCCCCTTCCGCCCAATGTCGAACGCCGAATCAGACAACGCCCACATGTTTGAAGCATGTTTAGACCATGTTCCCGACATGTTAAACACATGTTTACTTCAGTGACAGGATTGTCTCCCCCATAGGACGCACGGTCCCCAACAGCCGCACTAAGCAGAGGTCCAAGGCCACTCCCCCCTCCCTCCCCCCCCCACTTCCGCCCAATGTCGAAACGCCGAATGAGACAATGTCCACATGTAGGAAGCATGTTTAGGCCATGTTTCCGATATGTGACACACATGTCAGTTCAGTGACAGGATTGTCAGCGTGTCCGACGATGACGGTGACGAAGCTTTCCTCCCAATGCTAACGTGCGAACCATTGGTGACCAAAGGGCCGGCTCGCACGGGACTCTGCCTGAGCCCGTGGGCAGCCTCGCTTGCGGAGCGTTTTTTCGAGCCATCGCGCCCTCGAGCCCTCGCGCCCTCGAGCCCTCGCGAAGAGGACTGTCAGAGGGTGTCCGTCGCCGTGGCATCCACAACCCCAAAGGGGAACCCCTCTCCCCCTCTCCCCCTCGGGGGGGACCCCCTCTCCCCCTCCTCCCCACAACCCCCAAGGGGAACCCCTCTCCCCCTCTCCCCCCATCCCCATCGCGGGGGGCACACCCTCCCCCCTCGGCGGCAGCGGCCGGGGGCGGGCGGCGGAAGCCCCGCGTGCAGCGGCGGCGCTCTGCTGGCGGAGGCCGCCGCTCGGGCAGAGCCGTAGGGCCCCAGGGGAAGGGGGCCCCGTTGGCGGGAGGGCCGGGAGGAGCGCGCCGCATCGCCGAGGCACCGGCGATGCGGCTCGATGTGGAGCACGGTTTTTTCCACGACGACGTCGGCGATGCGATGCGATCCTCCGACCCCGTCTGATCCGACCAAATGTGAGAGGCCACGAACTCTAGATACGGGGTCTCCAGAAGGCTGGGCCTCTTGCTCAGGGCCGGCGCTTCGTCCCGAGTCTGATGCTGGTCGGGTATATCGCCAGGACCCCAGGTAAGGGGGCCCAGTTAGGGGTATGGGGCCCCGGAGCCCCGAGATTGGCCAGAATCTCTAGACCGGGTCTGCCGCAGTTGGTGTTTGTTCGGGTGACGGCAGCTCCAGTTCGTGGAACGGGGCGGGGGGGTATCCCCCAGTACACATCACTAATTACCAGTTTGAAACATATCCCTATCCCTATGTTTGACATCACCTCACCTCGATGCCGATCTTAAGGATTCCCTCAGTGTCTGAGGGCCTGTCCCTAAGACTGTCCTCGATTTTTGCTCGCCCATCTTAAGGATAGGGATAGGTTCGAGGCTGGTTAACTAAAGCAGGTCCCACTAAACCCAGTTCTGCCAACGCCCGAGCCAGACACAAACATCGGCCCCTCAAGAAGTCTAGGCTCAAGTCGGGCACGTCCCTCTACAGGAGGAGTGATCAAAGATTGTAAAACAAATAGTGTTGGGACCATTCGTTCCTACTGTTTTTGATAATTTCGGGGGGTATTGTTCCCCAGTCAGTACTTGCACTGAAGGGGTCCTAGCGGAAGTTGAAAGATTTGGCGCAAGTTTCCCGCCGAGTTTGACAGCAGGCTGGTTCCAGGGTTCCCAGTTCCGGGTGCCCGGGTTCCCGGTTATTGGTTCAGGGCAGATTTCGGTGGGTTCTGGGTTCCTGGACTCCCGGGTTCCCGGTCGATCTTTTCTGCGAAAACCATCCCCCGATTGAGGTTTTTCTGTTGTGTAATTCCCAACCCTCCTTGGTTTGGTATTCGTTTTGAATAGAGCACTGCGGTCTCCAGTCCTTCTCCGCCTCGCCTCCTTCTCCTCCTCCTCCCGCCTCCTCCGGGTGCCCGGGTTCCCGGTTATTGGTTCAGGGCAGATTTCGGTGGGTTCTGGGTTCCTGGACTCCCGGGTTCCCGGTCGATCTTTTCTGCGAAAACCATCCCCCGATTGAGGTTTTTCTGTTGTGTAATTCCCAACCCTCCTTGGTTTGGTATTCGTTTTGAATAGAGCACTGCGGTCTCCAGTCCTTCTCCGCCTCGCCTCCTTCTCCTCCTCCTCCCGCCTCCTCCCGCCTCCTCCTGCCCTCTCTTCGCCGTCGCTGGAGGGCTGCGATCTGTGAAACTGTCGCCAATTTCGAGCGCTGCTGGTGGGTCCTGCGGAGTGAGGCACCGCGGGGATCTGAGCGGGACCTCGCCGTCCATGGGGTGGCTGCGATCTGCGACACCTGTCGCCACTTTCGAGGGCTGCTTAGT